GCCAAATACTGCTAAAATGACCAAACTTATTAATACATAAGCTAGTTCTTTCAAAGGAAATTTTGTTGCTATTTTGCAACTTGTTAAATACGATTTTTTGCAAAATTAGAATTGTGCATGAATATAGTTATTTTTTCCCATTAAAATGACTTACTACTACAAGTCACAAAACAGGCTTCAGAGTAGGGCTACAAGGCATTCGTGTGGTTAGAGCTCTAGAATAAAATTTATTGGACTTTAATTCTCTAAATTTTTTTATTGTTTTTGTTTTTATGACGCCATTTCTTAATTGTCCGAAACCTAAATTCTATTGCGATGTACTTGAAGCGTATCAGAGAGGCAATGAATTAAATAGTGCCGAAATTTCTGGGTTCGACGAACTGAACTTGAACCTATTTGGATTTGCATAAATTGGAATAGATTGACGAATATGTGAAGGTCTTGTACAATTTTGATATAACATATACTTGTGTAACATCAATAAATAATAAAATTTTAAACGAAAACACGTGTTCGGAGAAGGAACCGATGGGCCCTATTAATAAATCAAACATTCAAATTTATAAAATTTGAACATGATTCTTAAATATTTTTGCTCAGCAGTACGAGAGAGCTTTTTCTTCCTCACTTAGAAATATATATTTGACAAAAAAATATTGGGTATCAATCATAGACCTTATACTACATCGACTACTAGTCGAGCGCAAAATAAGTGCTCAAACATAGAAGGGTATGTGCCGTCACATGTCTGAGCGAACATTGCCGACGACAATCGCGGAACTCTACCGATTGATTAAATGTCATATGTTTTATATTCATTATATAAAGGGCATTTGTGATGACTGATGATAAATGAAAAACATACGATCTATGGTATCAATACCTACTGTATGATAAAATGAATAGTTCAATAAATCGCATTATAAAAATTGTTACTATTTAATTGGAACTTTCTATTCAAAATCATCTACTTGCAGAAATACCCTCGACCTTAATCTTCCCTTAACAAGATGCTGCAAACTATTTGCCTTCGATCTTGTTAAAAAAGGATTAGGAATGTAGGTCATGTCAACTAAAAAAATAATTACTAAAAAGGATATTATAAATATACTCATTGAAAATTATTTAAAATTTATATAGTAGAAGTTATATGTGAACAGAACTGAAAAAATTGAAGAAAATATGTATTTTTTGTAAAATAGTATTTTCAAATAAGTCTTTTTCAATGATTTATTTTGTGATGAAGTAAAATGCAATATGAACGTCAAAAATGTTTCCCTTAATACAAAAGTTAGAAACTGTTTTCTACATTATAGAGTCTATATATCAATAATATATCCATTACCATATTTATTATTTATATTTTTATTTATTATTAATTATATATTTTAATATTATCTTCTATATTCACAAAATAATAATATCATTAATAGAACTATATTTACTATACTTTTATGTAAACAAAAATTTTAAAAATAACTAGCAACAAAATAGTACTGTTTAACTAAATATAATCGATATTATAAACATTTGTATTTACAGATAGTTATTTATAGAACTTATTTACATTCTGTGTAAATTTTGCAAACTAGTAAATATTATTGATAATTATATTAAATCATATGTAATAGGTCAGAATGTCAGAACAGATTTCAAAAGATATGCATCTAAACATACTAAACTTATAATTTTGGTTTTAGAAATAAATGTTTTCCATATCATTTTTTTTTTATTTATTTTTTTATTATTATTTTTTTTCTTTATTTGCAAATCATTTTTTAACTTCCCGTAGGGTAAGTTATTGTAATGGGCCGAAAATCGGAATTGAAAATTTTTACATTTCTCGACGTTTTGAAGGTTTCTGACGTTTTGGCATACCTCAGAAAAAATGGATGTGTGTGTGTGTGTTTGTGTGTATGTATGTATGGATACAAATTTCCGCCCACGTTTTCGGGCGTACGGATTAACCGATTTGAATAATTTAAAAAACATTCGATCCTATTGATTAGGAGAAGAGCTGATTAGTTTTTGGCAAGGCAGGTCCGGCAGTTACGGAGATAAGGAGCAAAGAGTGCAGAAAATACGAGTTTTTTGAGAGAACGGAGCATCCGATTCGAATGATCTAAAAAACATTCAATTAGTATGATTGGGAGAAGGAGTTATTAGTTTTTTCAAAGGCAGGCCCAGCCATTTCGGAGATACAGAGCTAAATGTACAAAAAATGGCAGTTTTTGAGAGAATTAAGCGTCCGATTCAATTGATTCAAAGAACTTTCTGCTTGTCTTAACAAAATAATTGATTTTGAAAAAAAAAATTGTACATTTTTTTTTTTTTTTTAAAAAATTTTAAATTTTTTGTATATCGAAATATAATTCAGAATTTTATTTTAATTCTGACTATAGTTCTAATATACTTTAAACAAATAATTTCAACTCTGCAATTCAGTTTTATATAATTCTTATAAATATTAACAATGTTACAATATTTATAATAATCTATTTGAAAACATTCAATATTCCTCGAACATTTCGTAACGGTACGGGAAGTTCCAGCAATTTGCCTTAAGGCACGATGCCACCCACCCCAGTAGTTTTATTTTTATTTTTTATCCATTTACTTATTTTTTATTTTTTTTATTTCTTTCTGTGATTATTATTATTATTATTAGTTATATAATATGAATTTTTTTTTTAAATTAGAATATGAATTCCCATTTCTCACCAACTATTTTTTTATTAGAAATATTATAGTTTTAAGACAAAAATATAAAAAATTAACGTCAAGTCTAAATGAAATGTTTTTGATAAAAATATTTATGTCCATTTTTTTATGAAAAACTAGACAATATAAATAATAAAAGCATCAATATTTTCTTACATTTTTTTCATACACAAAAATATATATAAAAATTAGGGACACCAAAAGAATTTACTAACTTTCTGTATTTACACTAGTGAGTACTCATTGTTATTAATTTAGCAGATTTATAGGTTTTTTAAATAAATTTTCAACCATTTTATCTAGAAAAAATCATGATAAACGCCTATGAAGATTTTAAAGTATATCCAAGCTCTGACTCTTATGTTGTGTCCAATTTCCAATTAAAATTTAGAAAAATTTCTCATAAATTTATTTATAAAATTTTTAAAGGCAAAACTTATAGTTTATTATTTGATAAAAAAGCTCAAATAAAATTCTTGGAAATTTTCTTATATTTATTTACTTCTGCGAAAGACTATTTAATCATTTTCATTACACATAGAAAGGTCGAGTACACATAGAAATTCAGATGGAAATCGTGTAAATGACAGGTTTGAAAATTACATTTTATTCTGGAAATCGATTTACTAAATTGGTGTTGAAATTTAAAATAGAGAGAATTTAAAATTATATTGTAATTCTATGCACAATTTATAAAATTCA